CGTCGAGCGTACACCGCCGCCAGATGCCCTGCACGTGCGTCTCGTCCTGCCAAAAGTTGTAGTAGAGCCCGTTGAGCACGCGGCCGATGTATGGGATCTTCTCGTCGCTCTCCATGATCTCGAGCAGCCGGCCGTACAGCGGCTTGTCGGACGGCTCTCCGATCCGCGCGACCGCATCGGCGTTTTGCTCCTTGACCCAGCCAATCTGCTTGTCGCCCTCCACCTCCTCGAGCCACTCGCGCGGGTCGGTGAGGTCTTCGAGCGTCGGGAGAGCCGCATCCGCCATGCTCATCGATGGCGCGGCGGTGGCGAGCGGCCGAGCAAACCCGCGAAGGCGCAGGCCGGCCGACGGAGCGAAGAGGCGCAGACCGGCCGACGGAGCGAGCAGGATCGCGGCGGAGCACAGCCGCAGCCTCGTCGACATTTCAGGATCGGAGCCGCCAGGATCGGAGCCGCCAGGATCGGAGCCGCTCGGAGCCGCCAGGATCGGAGCCGCCAGTCTGCGAGCTTTTGTAAATAACTTTTTAAAGGGTTGCCCGGCCGGGTTGCTGCGCAAATCTCGCGCTGCGCTAGGCTCAGAGCGAGTTCGCGCTGCGCTAGGCTCAGACGGCGTGCGTGCGCGGGCCGCCGGGGTGACGGCGGGTGTGAGGAGGAGGACCCCACCTCCTTCGGGCTCGGCAGCTTGTCGGGCTCTACAACTACCACTACCTCAGCCCTCAGCCGAAGCTGGGGCCGGTCCCGTAGGCCGTCCGCAGCCGAGAGAGCCCCCGCCGCCCGCGTCCCGTGTCCCGATGAATTCGACGGCGCTCGGCGGACGGGCGACGGGCGCGGTCGGGAGGACGACCCCGGCTAGTCGCCGACCACACCCACAAAGAACCCTGCACAAAGACCGCAGGGCGGGGACCTGTTCCTTTTTACCCATCTCCTAGTAGAGGTGTCCGTTTTAACTTTTATTTATTTATTTATTTGGGCGCGGCCGGCGGCGCGGGGCCGGGGGGTGGGCGGTGGGAGAGCGCAGCATTCCCAGCCCCTTTGCCAAAGGTCCCTGGTTTGAGGGCATTAGTAGAACGGTCCCTTGTGTCACTGGTGCGCTTGCGGCTTGGTCCTCCTTTCTTTGAAGCTCTATTTACACACCCCACCTCACGCTGGAAGTGGCGAATCGATGCGAGCGCGCCGCGTGCTCCACGCGCGGCGCGCTCGTATCGACTTGGAGTCCAATGCGCGCAGCGGGCGGGTAGCACCTCGGGAGCTCGCTCTACCCGGGACGCGGAGAACTGCCCACAGGAGCGAGACTCTATCTGCCACGTCTGGCGTCTGGCGCAAAAGGCCGCGCAGTCGTCCGCACCTGCGGAGGCCGCCGCAACTGGCTAAGGTGTGGGTGTGGGCGGTGAGGGGGCCGGTGAGGGGGGCGGCTAGAGGGCGGGGGCGGGGGG